CTTGTACCTCTTTTTTGTTGTAGTGTGCGTCCATGAAATGGTTGGGTGTTTTTCTCTGTTATCTTGAGGTGTTTGGTGTGAAAATCCTCGTGTTTAAAGTTGTTCTTAAGTTGTTTACATGTATGTTACGCAAGTTAGCTTCAATGCTAAATTTCGGCTGGACGCTAGCTACTCTTCGTTTTTATTCGTATTATTTAATTCATGTTATTTAGGTCTTTTGTCAATAGGCCTCAGGTAGATTTATGTATGTTTTGGGGGATTATGATTGGGATAAATATGTTTACTGTTAATAACTAATACGAGAAAACAGAATGACGTCACATCAGACATTTTGGAAAGGCAAAAATCGTCCGTATCAACAAGTCAACATCAACATCGTCCACAGTTATCGGCGAGTTTTAACTTTTCAAAGCGACGTTTTTGAGCCTCAACATTCAGTGACTTAGAGTAAGATGATGAAGTCATGTCAAAACAATTAAATGCAAAACCTACATCAAAATAAGACGAGTTATGTCATGACAGAGATACACAACGCAACTGTCAACACAAACGAGTGGCCCCACTCACTTTTTGCCAACCAGCCACTGCACACGTGCGGAAAAGCCGGATGTAAACAAAAACGTTTTCTCGTATTAGTAGTAGAAGTTTTGAGGCCTACTTTTATTTCGTGCCTATTAGTTGATATATATTTGGTTTATATTTGTATTATTGAATCATAAAGTCTATTATTATCATGTCATTGTGTTTTATTAGTATTGTTAAAATCAGTCTAGCATATTTCTAATATTCTGTTTATTTGCTTTGTTTACAAAACCACACATACAAATACACATACACCAAGACTCAAGTTTCAATAAAGAAAAGTAAAGATACATCCTGCATAAGGCTGGGTATCATTAAGAAGTTGCCGATACTGTACATACCTCGATACATGGGCCATGGTACTATACATATCTCATACATAAAGGGAACTTTCGATTTGACACGATTCAGTACGATGTATTTCAAATTGAGTCAATAAGATTCAGTAAAAAATATTGGCTAAATCATGGCTGTGACACTAAAAGTCTTTAAACCACTTCTTGTGCTAAGTTCATATGAAACACACATATTTTAATCATCAAATCAGTGAAAATGTTAAATGTGTTGCACAAACAAGTTTCCTTCCTCTGAACAAGCAACAAAACTGTAGCTCGGTAACAAAATAGTTTAGTAAAATATACCAAAAATACTCTTGTTGATATATTGATACAGCAGCCCACAATATCGATACTGTATCATCACATTAAGCGATACGATATTTTGATATCTTTGCACACTCTTAATCCTATCTATTCCTTGAATTCTGATCAAAGCACACTCCGCGATCACAACTCTACTGACCCAGACAGCAGTAATGAAACCTCCATAACAACAAGTATTTTGTGCAGATTTTTAGATCTAATAAAGCTTCAAAGCATAGAGATTTTAATAAATAATTCAGCACAAATCTGAAAAATGCACTGTGGAAAGTACCTGCTCTCAAGTGCAGTAAAGTAAAAGTAAAAAGTATCCCATTTAAAATGTAAAGTACAGATAACTACCCAACCTTTTTACTTACTTAAAGTACTTTACTCATTTTTATGTTCCCTTCCATGACTGAAAATGAAGCAGGGACCAGTCAGAAGAAGCATTTCAACAGCTCAGAAGAAAAATACAAATATTCACCACCTTTGAAGTTAAGTATTGTTCTCCAAAAGTGTATTCAAAATAGCATCTGTGCCTGGGACTGCGACGTGACTCATATGGCATAATTCGTTTTCGACATTCGGCGGTTCAATAACAGGCTATGGGCAAAATCCACCTCGACTTCTTTTCACCGAACAAAGTGAGTGTGAGCGCGAGAAAAAGACACCCAAACAAGTCCTCGAATGGAGTGAGTCATATGCCAGCTATTTGCATGGGGAATCGTGATGGTAACAATAGCCTAGATATGATACCGTGGAAACATGTCTAAAAAAAGTTTCGAGTAACTCTGAAAAGCAATTGCCATGTCAAAAGTTCACTTCATCTCATGTAATATTAGACTCAAAATGACTCATTATACCGGAGTGGAAATTTGGAACATTTGGTAAACTTGACAAAATCTTTGCTGCAACTGTGAAGTCAATTTTTCCCCTAAGACAAATTATTTTACAAATTATTATGATTTTAAACTTACAGTATGTAGCTCCAGTTTATTCAGTTAATAATATAAATTTCAGTGTAAATTTCAGTGCACATTTACTTAACTAAATTATCACATCTAATCTGAAACTGTAAACCCACTGTTCACTTTCACATGATGTATTGTGAAATTTTAAATTTAAATTTTAAACTATTCTCATTGCTCAATGTTAGTATCATGGCCCATGTTGTGCCGTATTTGTATTAATTATTGTTCTATTTTGAGGTGACCTGGATGCACTACGGCCCAGCACATCCAGCCGACTATTACAGGGACTCACCTCCTACACCCCAAGATTCCCAGGGTCATGGAAATCCTGGGAAAGTCATGGAATTTTAGCATCTCTTTTACACAACTACAGCATTTTGTTAAGTTCTCATGAGGCTATTATGATTATTTCTGAACATATGCGCCTTTTGTTTAAAAGAGACGACAATAAATGCACTGACAGGATTGTGAATGTTAAAACTTTATAATCCCAAACCATAAGGTGAGTGGAAAGGGTTAACATTTCATATTTAGCCCTAAAAATATGCTCAATTCTACAATTCATGGAAAATTCACTTGAGGTCATGAAAAAGTCATGAAAAAGTTTAGAAATTTTGTCAGTGAAAAAGACAAGGAAACCTGTACACCCACCGCTGATCCTCTGCCTCGACTCCACCTTTCCACAACTCACTTTACCACGATTTGCACATATTTAGAAGCAGCAGAGAGCTTAAACTTTTGCTGTAGTCGTGTCTGCCACCTTTCTCTGTTGCAGTAACAGATAGCAAAAAGGACAAACTGGCAATACGAAACAACACAACCAAAACATTGTCACTGCAAATAGACTAAACTATGTACACTACCAGTCAAAAGTTTTAGAACACCCTCATTTTTTTCCAGTTATTTACTGCAGTTCAAGTCGTGCAAGTCCAATGAAGCTTGAAATGGTACAAAGGTAAGAACTGAACAGACAGCTTAAAAAAAATAGATAAAAGATACAAAACACAAGTCCAAGCTCTGCCAAAACTACCTCAGGAAAAAAGAACAAGATGGTAAACTTGAAAACATGGAGTGTCCAGCAGCACAGTGTCCAGACTTAAACCCCATCGAGCTGGTTTGGGATGAACTGGGCAGAAGAGTGAAAGTCAAACAACCCACAAGTGCCACACTTTTATGGAAACTTCTGCAACAGACTTGGGAAGAACTTTCTGAAGAATATTTGATTTCTATTATAAAAAGAACGAGCCACGAGTGTGTTCAGCTGTTATATCTGCCAAAGGTGGACACTTGCATGAATCAAAAGTTTAGAATACGTTTTGGTCAACAGTAAACAGTAAAACAAAAACTAGAAAAAGTGTGGTGTTCTAAAACGTTTGACCGGTAGTGTACTAGTAATTTCAATTGCAGCAAATGTACTGGCAACATTCAACATATAGTTGCTATGTATAACCAACATTTGAACACATGACCTTAGACTGCTTAGCAACACTCAAAACCTCTAGAGCAGCAGACACAAATTACGCTTATCAGTGTTACAACAACAAGAGCAAAACCACAGCAATTAAAAACGTCAACAGATTCATCATATTTTCACACTAGCAAAAGAAGGAAAAAAAAAAAAAAAAGTTATTCAATAGGCTCTATTCACATTACGTCACAAAACAGGAAGACATTTGGAAATGATGAAAACTGAGGTATGGTTGTAATGGCTGATTAGCCGACCATAATGGAACACTACAGTGACATTTAGGCCCCGTCCACACTAGTATGTATTCAAGTCGTTTTCGTTGTGGATGCAGTGTTGCGGCGTGAAGTAATTCACCGCCAAACGGTTAAGAGGCTAGAACAGGGGTGGGCAAACTTTTCGGCTCGTGGGCCACATAGGGTCCTAAAATTTGCCTGAAGGGCCAGACAGAACACAGGACATGACGTGTTAAGAGCTCAGCTGCATTATATTCGTATTTACGCTTATGTAGGATGCGCACTACAACATCGCTGCAAAAAATCCAGAACACACATAAATCTACAGATCCGGTCCACTGCACATCACACGGGAAGGTAAGTTATGAGGAAATAGGTTTTACTTAGAAACAGAACCCATGCCACAAAGTCACACGCGGCTCAACAAGACTCTTATGACGTACTGTAAGTCAATTTTTATGTCACAACATCTATAAAGTTCTTGTGTTTGACTTTTACCAACTCAAAATGGAAGCAGTGCAGTCATATATCTTGAACCACCACTACTAATGCATGAAAAATAAAACACCAACAAGGTTTATTATTGTAATTTATTCCAGTTCCGGGGGCCGGATTAAAAGGTTTAAAGGGCCGCATACGGCCCCCGGGCCGTAGTTTGCCCACCCCTGGGCTAGAATGTATGTCCATTTGTATATACAGTCTGTGCGTATGACCCACAGATGTATAATCTCCGAAAAGTTTAACATGAACCATCTCCAGCATGATAGACGCACAGAACAGACTCATCATCAGCAGAACATCCCTCTGTCACAGAAAAAACACTCATGAGTTTTGATGAAATGTAAACAAATATGCTCAAAGCTGTGTGGATAGGGAAGGCTTTGATTGTGGACACAGAAACGACGTGTCTGGATGCAAATCGTTTCCGATACCGTGATATGGTGATACAGTGATTTTATTTTATTTTTTTTCAGTGTAAATGTAGCCTTTGATGAAGAAAACTGGACCTGGGAGTCAACGTCTTCCTGGGTTGCAACATAAGCGTGAGTAGAGCCTGTAAACTAAAAAAAAGCTGCACAAACACTACGGAAAAATCAGCTCTTACCTTCTTTGCAGTACTTCCCCTTGAATCTCGTGTGGGTGCAGTCGCAGTGAACCTCCCCGTACTGGATCGAGCAAAATCCTCCGTTAAAGCATGGGTTCTGTTTGGTGCAAAGATATTCCAGGTCGCTCTGAATTCCTTGACTGTTGAGTAAATTCGGCGGTATCTCCCCCACTTTCAGGTTGGAAATGAGGCCCAGGAACGGAGGCTCGTACTTCACCGTGCTGGAGGTGAGGGCGGAGAGGCGTACGTCGGGCGGGATCCCCCCTACGAACAAATCGCTCACCACCGCCATCTCCTTCCTCTTCGATTTCACCTCCGCCACCTTCGTCTCGCCGTCGACCATCAGAAGAGTCTCCCTGAAATTCCGGGTTAGCAGAACCATGTGCCAGCGGTCGTCGTTCACGCTCGTCTCCATGTGCAACGTAGCGGGTTCGGCGCAGTGGATGGCGAAGCGGAGCTGGAGGCGCCCGTTCGCGATCAGCAACTCCAGGAAGTCGCAGTTGCCTCCGTCGTCGAGGTAGAGGACCAGGGCTTTGCTGACGTTGGTTTTGATGCTAAAGCTCAACTCGCCGACCGATCCTGCCTCCCAGCGGGCGTAGCGTGCCCACTGGCCGGGAGCGCCGCCAAATTCCAACATCTTTACCGTGGTGACGAGCATGCACAGAATCCAAAACGGCTCCAATCTTAACCTCGTCATGGTGGCTGGGTTGTTTCTACTTGCCAGAGAACTTGACGCAACACACTATTTGAAGAAAAGACTAGTAGATTTCAAAGTACCCCACGCAAAACTGAACAAATTAGCAGTGTATTCCGTGTTCAGAGTAGTTGTAATTCTTATCCAGACTCTCTCCTCTGTCTCTCCATCAGCTGGTGCCCTCGGGAGGAAAAAAAGAATTAGGTACAATTTGCAGTTTCCTCCAAAAATCCAATAGCGGAAATAGTATCACGCTCCAATCCGATGTAGTAATATTCCAGGAAGGTTGTACAGACGCCAGAAACGCGGTCGGAAAAATAGTTGGAGAATTGAAGAAACCGGTGTCAGAAAGCACTACTGTCTGACGAAGGGTAAAATGCGATCATTGTTTTGGACTCCTCTCCTTCACGGACCATGGGGGCTCATGACGGCGTGGATTCCATCATTTCGCTGGGAGTAGGTAACCTGGAAGAGAGGAGAAAAAGAGAGGAAGATGTGATTAAATTACATATCCTGAAGTTAATCTGTATGCGTTGAAAGCCTTATCGTGTAATTTATTTCATGTTCCGTCTTGCCTACTGTATTTATTTATTTATTTTTTTACATTCTGGTACTTAGTTCATTCAAAAGCTGATCCACTGAAACCATGATTGTAATGTGAGCAGAGTTTTGATCTCGACATACAGCATTTAGGTTCAAATCATGCAAAGTCTAACCATTTTTACAGGTACAGCTCAAAGAATATCGTGGAAAAAGTTCAATATTTTTGGTCACTGACAAAAAAACTATTGTGATTTTTTGATTAACCCTTCCAGACCTAAGGGCATTTTTAGCACATTTGTCCTTGCCTGGATTTTTTTTCTTAATTTTGCTATTAAAATTCCCCCTTTAACCCCCAAATGAAGTTTTATATTTCCTTTTTTTCAGTACAACCTGTTATTTCACAATCTGCATGCTGTAGTTGTGTCATATGGCTGTAATAAAAGCTACAGGACCAGAAATACAAAACACAAAACAAACATGTATAAACTTTTTGGACATAAAAAAATGCTTAATTTAGGGCCTCAGCTACAAAAGTGCAAAATATCAAGTCTGTAAGTTAAGAAAAAATATCCTCATTGCCCTCAAAACAAAACAAAAGTGCAATGGCTCCATGACTTTACTGGTGTCAGTCAAGGAAACAACTCGTGTCACTTCCTGCATTTCCATGGTGTTTATTACATTTGGATTCGTACATTTTGACTAAAATAAACCTTTCAAATAAAAATAACAAGGGATGTGCAATTATGCAGACCAAGATGAGTAATTTGCCATTTATTTGAGAAATAACTGCACTTAGAGCGGCTTTTTAACCATCTTAACTCACTACACTCTTTGGCAAAGTTTGGACCAATCAATCACCACCGGAAGTTGTCATCGCATATTTCTGAATGTTTTCCTGGTCTGTGACGTAAACGTGAATAGAGCCTATTCGAAAATTTGGCCCTTGCCCCACATTTGGGAGTATGATATTATCACATCGTAGAGTCTGAAAACCACCAGTGTCTTGTTTTTGTCTTGTCACCAACCTCCCAATGGGGCTACGGGTGAAAATGAGCCTACATGTCCAACTCTGGCTCATTTACACGCTGTACTAACTGGGGATGTAACAATAACCAAAATACTGTGATATCGCATCGTCAAAAGTCTCACAATAATATCGTGGGCTGTCACAATATATCGAATTACAAGTTCCTTTGCTTAAATGCATGGTTTTATAGTAATAACAGCTTATAAACATGGGGAACTACATTTCCCATGATTCATTTCAGTGCAAACGACATGAAGAAATATGGGTAACACTTTATAATAACTACACCTTATTTAGCCTTAATAAAGCATGAACAAAGGCTTAATTAATAATGAACAAAGACTTAATTAATAATGATTCACGTTTAGTAACTACTTAATTACTACCTTAATTAGCACTTGCACTTAATTTGCCTGTGCTGTAAATAGTTACTCATAATTACTTCATACTTAATTACTCATGGACTAACCATTTGAGCATTTATTAATGATTAGTAAAGCTACGAGAGAATGATTTACTAATAATGCAATGCAATGACAATTCAGGCAGCTGTTATCTGTTAGTTAAGTCTTTTGGAGAGCTTTTCTAAAGTGAAGACTGATTATCCTTTATTAAACATTTACTAAGCGTGAATCATTATTAATTAGTCTTTATTCATGCTTTATTAAGGCTAAATAAGGTGTAGTTATTATAAAGTGTTACTGAAATATGTTTTTTACTTGAATTCTTGGGATTATGATGGAAATAATTCACATCGAAATCTTGTCAGGGTATTTTAAAAGCAAAAAAAAAAAGTCCTATCTACAATTAGATCAGCCTCTCCAAAATATCGCAATAAGTATCGTACCGTAAGATGCATATCGTGATACTGAGGATTTGGATATCGTTACATCCCTAGTACTAACACATGCTGATTTATGTGTCCCATTTTAGTAAATAAACATAAACATAACATAGATCAGAAAATAGTGTAACATAAACCCTTTAATTTACCAAAGAACAATCCAAAAACCGGATTACGTCGAGCTACATTTCACAGAACCAGGCCTATTTTTAACTTTAACACAAACACAGTACGCACTTCGGACAATCCTCCTTGAAACATGCACACGCACACTCTCCGGACATGTGCTCGCAACCGCCAACGTCATTACACGAAATGGGATTCCGAGTGGAGTGCAGAGGGCCAGTCGATGGTTGCGTGAATAGCCGGTCTTGACCCTGGGGCCTGGCCTAATCCCTCCGCCATTATTTCTTGAGTGAGATTTAATTTGCACAAAGCCTACAATTAAAGATAGGTTTCACCCCGGCTAATGCTTTCAACAAAGACGATGTGGAGGGAGGAGACGGAAAGACATCCACATGAAAGGAAAAGCGCGTCGAGTTTTCTGTATGACGCACAAAGGGAGTATTATAAATCCTTCTAAATACGATTATGTAATTTCAATTGATGGCAAAGACAAGGTATTTCGCAAACACAAACGCGATCCCGGCTTTCTTAATTACTCAACCTGACGAGTTCGTGAGTGTGTCTCGGAACTTTCAGAGGTCAGAGCCAAGTTTTGTCATCAACTAGCATGCTAATAGTGGACAACAGTAGTTTTTAAACGGCTAATTTCCTTACGCAAGAAGAGTAGAGCGAGATAACACAGAGATAGATTCAAATTAAAGACGCTTTTGGACGTGTATTGGGGATTAAAAGTGCGATCTTTGAAGCGCTAATAAGAGCAAAAAAATGAAATGAGCTTTTAATAACTTTTAATAGCGAATTAAAGCAGAAAAAAATGATAAAAAACTTAATTATTTGGCTTATAAAGAGTAAACTAATGAAAACGGCGAGGGTTGTGTGGGTAGAGGTGGAGGTCTCTGGGGTAGGAGACTCTCTTGGATAATTGTGTCGTTGCGATAAAGAATAGGGACGCACCAAGGCCAAACTGGTATCAAAAATTGCCAGGAATACTGAACAGTTTGCTGGATCGGATATCGGCTTCCAAATATCGGTTCAGCAGACAGATATAGTTGATCTAATAAGAGTATTCACTGGTCGTAGTCGTAGCCGAGAAAGTCTTATACAAAGCTGTTCAGTTGTTACTTCAGAGATACATAACAGCTCCGTAACCCGTTTGGATCAGTTTTGTCTAATTTTATTTTTGTTTAAAAGAAATGAATGCTGGTATCAGAGTCCTGCCCGGAACCGTTAACATTACCGTTACCGTTACCTGTCTGTGCCCGTGATAAATTGGAGTCAGCCCATTAGTCCAGGATTAAACCAAGACTAAACCAGGACTGAACCTACGCCGTGTTTTTAGTGGATTATAAATATATAAACACCACAAAGACGATCGGCAGGACTACACCAGGACTGGACCAGGACTAAACAAGGATTAAACCAGGTCGAAAAACAAGACTAAACCAGGATTGAACCAGGTCTAAACCAGGATTGAACCAGGTCTAAACCAGGACTTAACCAGGACTAAACCAGGACTAAACCAGGTCTAAACCAGGACTGAACCAGGACTAAACCAGGACTGAACCACTGTCATTAACATAAATAAATACAAGCTGCATTCACCAAGCCGATCGCCAGGACTCCACCAGGACTAAACAGGACGTAACGAGGACTGAACCAGGTCTAAACCAGGTCTAAACCAAAACTTAACCAGGACTGAACCAGGACTAAACCAGGTCTAAACCAGGACTAAACTAGAACTGAATCAGTGTCATTAGCATAAATGTATACACACCCCAACCGTCAAGCCCCATCGCCAGGACTAAACCAGGACTAAACCAGGACTAAACCAGGACTGAACTTACACTTGTCATTAGCAGATTATAAATATATACACACCACAACCCGTCGAACAGGACTGAACCAGGACTACACCAGGACTACACCAGGACTACACCAGGACTACACCAGGACTACACCAGGACTACACCAGGACTTAACCCGGAAGCGCAGCTGTTGAGGCGATCTCCTCTGCTGATGGTTTTCTGTTATAAAACAATAAAGTCACTCTCTCAGGTTGGTCCATTGTTTCAGGAAAAATGAAAATGTCACTTGTTTCCACGGCAACGGACGCCCGTTCGTCGTTCATTTGATTCACTTGATCTGCCCGTGTGTAATCACTACCTGCCTGTATACCCACCCGTAAAACTCTAGAACGTTAAAACTGTTTCAACAACTATTTGGTAGTAGTGATAGGTCGATGTCCGGTGGAGTGTCCCTCACTTGTTTGTCTTCATGGAAATGTGTCTAGAATGTTCCACAGCACGTCCATAAACTTAAGAATATCCACGGAGACTTGCAAGACTAATTATAGGTTAGATTTGTGAAGAAATGACTCCAATCACAGTAAGAATTCAGGTTTTTAAAGATATTTTCAGCAATAAATAACACCTGTAATTGAATAAATACAAGACAGATTAGTTC